CAGGACACCGGCCCTCCAGGACCGAGTTTGGACACCCCTGGCTTATACAGTTAAAAATACGTCTAAAAATAAGTCTAATTTGATATTTCATACATTTTTTTCCCATTCTGTCTAGCCAAACACGGAAATGTCTGACGTTAACACCCCCTAAAATGTACCCAATTGTGGTCAGGAGAACCCAATTATATAACACATCCTCAACACAAGTCGACTATTTTTTATCCAAATGACTAGTCGATTTCAAAAATATGGAATTTTGCACATCTGTAGCCTAGTTATAAAAGCGCTTTCATATAACCAAACTGAATCCAAAAAAGAAAATAGCAATGACAACTCAAGAGGAAAGTGTTAAATAAAAAGGATGAAAAGATGGAAGTACACACTGTGGGAGGCAGAGGGGGGAGTCAACGTAACCCTATCGACGCCTTCAACTCCCCCATAGTCACCTGTTTGGCGCGCTCCATGGCCTGGACCACCTGCTGCTGGTGCTGTGGATGGAGGGCAGAAAATGGCCGTCAATGATAAACAAACAAGCAACAAAAACAAGGCAGATGGCCACCCTAGTGTGTCTTTGTGTACTGCGCGATTTTCATTTTTTGAAGCGTGTTGCTCACACACACACACACACACAGGGCTGCATTTTGTATGAATAAATACACACACTTAAAACAGGAGGGGAAGTTGTTTTTCTTCTGTCAGGAAAAGCTTTGGGCAAACCGTAAGCGTTTTTGTGGAAGTGGGTTTACAAGAATAACAATAGGCTTCCCAGAGGCATCCGAATGAGAGACTATGTGAGAATGTGAGGAAGTATGAGAGGAAGAGAGAGAGAGAAAAAAAAAAAAGTGTGATTGCATGCGTGTGAGAAACAGAAAAAACGATATTATATGTGTGTGTGTGTGTGTGTGTGTGTGTGTGTGTGTGAGCACAAGTGAGTGAATTATCAATCACAGAATGTCTGAACGCAATGTGGCATGTGTGAGTCTCATGATGTGCAGCTGTGGGACTGAGTGTGTGTTGGTCTCATCTCACCTCCTGTGACAGGAATGGAATGAGCTGGGCACAAATCACGTTCAGCCGTTTGGCGATCTCCGTCTGCAGAGATATGGAGAGTGAGAGGGAAGCAGAAGCAGAAAGCAAGCAAAAATAGATTTCATTTAACACAAAATGTACATTTCTGAAATGTTAAATGACCATTTCCCACCATCATTTGGCAATTGTTGATAAGAATAATAACATAATAATAATAATAATTATTATTATTATTAATAATAATAATAATAATATTATGCTGCATCTATTGTACAACCATGACAATTATTCTTAGTATTAGTAATACTAATAGTAGTTATACATTCAGAATAATTAATAAATTTACTACTACTAATACTACTTAATAATAATAAAATACTACAAGTACTACTACTATTAGTACTACTACTAATAAATAAATGTTACAATAATATTTATATTATTATTAGTAACAATAATAACAAATATTAATTAGTAATAAGTATTATTATTATTATTATATTATAAACTATTTGATCATTACTACTACTATAAGTAGGTGTTAGTAGTAGTACTAACAGTACTTTCACATTAAAAGTAAATATCATTAATAAACTTACTACTACAAATAAAATACTACAAGTACTACTACTACTACTAATAAATAAATGTTATAATATTTTTATAATATTATTATTATTATCATCATTATTATCATTTAAACTAATTGATAACTACTACTACTATTAGTAGTGGTGTTCGTAGTAGTGGTATTATAGCAGTTCCCTTTCAGTCGGTCACTCTCGACGTCACGTCGGATGACCGACGAATTGGGATCTCGCTTAG